CGAAGAAGTAAGAATGAAACTTACACTATATAAATAAGTATAAACAATTAGAATGCACTTTTTTGACAAATATTCTTTGGAGGAGTATAAGCGCTACAAATCTATAAAACCTGGTAGATCAACGGCAGATCCTCAAGTGACCGATATAAAAGTCATGAATTATAGTCCTCGGAAATCATTTAGGTAAAGCTTGATACGGATAATTCTTGGCTCAATCTACCTTGTAGGTTGAAGACAATGGCCCTCATAGAACATTATTCAAATATGTCTAGTGAAAAGTTGAAATTTACAAAGAAAATAAATGCCCTTACAAGACCTAAAAAGTGTTATTCTTAAATATTGTCATGCCAATTCTAACTCACTTTCCTATGAGGATAATTGAGGCTATGGGAGCAAGAGTGGGTTAACCAACATTTTGTTGATAATTAAGTTATAGATTGCAATCACTTCTAACGAGCTAAAGTTTTAAAGCCTAACCGGTCTAACCAACATTTTCGTATATTATAACATAAATCTCTCCAGTAAGGTGATTTTACATTATAGGAAATAACAAAAATTTGAAAACACGAATGGGCTAACCCACGAAGTTGTGGAATAGACCAAAAATTGTTTAATACATAAATACGTAAAAGAATGCAAGAGTGCGCTAACCATCCTGTTTGTAGGATAGACCGGTTTTTAGGAATCCTTTATAACTTTTTCAAAGAACAACATACTAGTAATCCTGTCTCATTTCACATATTTCGAAAAATATTTAATACCTAATTTAATATTGGATTCCATGCACCAATTACGGATTCGTGCAAAAAATGTGATTTGTATTGTACTACAGAAAAACGTGAATTTGAAGTAACACTAGAGGTTAACCAACGAAAAGCAGACCGTGCTAGATGTGGTCTGAAACAAGATGCAGAGTACGCAAAACAAAATCCTGAAGAAACTACAGTGATTGTATTTGACTTGATGCGAACGTTGCCCACACCAGTTATCAGCACTGTAATTTCTTACTATAAAAGCCAGTTGTGGACTTACGTCTTAGGAGTTCATAATTTGGCTACTAATAATGCTCATATGTATCTTTGGAATGAGACACAAGCATCATGAGGACCTCAAGAGATAGGATCCTGTGTTTTGCATTAGTTTAAAAATGTTACAACAAAAAATGTAATACTATATTCCGATCAACGCGGAGGGCAGAACCGTAACATTAAAATGGCTGTCCTTTGCGATTCTTTTGTGTCACATCCTGATATTGTGGTGGAAAATATTGATCATAAGTTTTTAGTCAGCGGACATTTTTACCTTGCCTGTGACCAAGATTTCGGAGTAATAAGTAAGCAAAAAATTTTTTTAAAGATATCTATACGTACCTAACGACTGGATCAAGGTAATAGGTACCACATGCACGAAAGAAAGCACATTTTAGTGTAATAAAGATGGCCGAAAACGATTTTTATATTACCAAGAAGTTCACAAAAATCAAAAGTCCAATGGTTACAGATTAAGTGGTTTGCAATACAAGAAAACAAATCCATTTACAATTTACTACAAATACAGCAATTATGCAGATGTTCTCTTTTACTTACTAGATGTCAAAAAGAGAACATCCAGGGAAATAGTTTAGCTAGATTATCTTTATCCTGATAGACGCCCAATAACCGAGGCAAAAAAAAAAGTCTTTTGGAATTACTTTCATTTATACCTCCAATACATCATAGATTTTACACAAGCACCAGAAAGATAAGATCCACTATACAGCAAGAGGAAGAGTTTATTAACGATGAAGTTTAAGTATTTTTGTTACTCTGTTTTTTAATAAAGCATGTTTTCAACATTGATATTGTTTAATTGTAGGTGTACTCCAGGTCTAATCCACATTCCTATTAAAATTTTTAAGGGCATACTGATGCAAAAGCGGTCTAATCCACAAAAAAGCTTAAATTTTTATATATTTTTTAAATATACTGCAAGATCTTCGAGTTTTTTGTTATTAGTTAATGATTTGTAAACTATGACTACCTTTTAGCATCATAATTTAATTTTATAAAACCTCAAAAAACGCATATATATTCTTGGTTCATGTAAATCCATTATTTATTATTTGGGGTTAGCCGACCTTTGCTCTCATAGCCCCAATTAAGAATCTTACATCATTTTTTGCATTAGTATTTAAAAATGTTTTTTATTATTATTTGACTAATAGGTATTCTTTCCAATTTCAAATAAACAAATTCTTTCAGCCTTTCAACCAAAATATACATGCAATATCTCCTATATGTAGAAAATATGCTGACAATAGGTACCTCCTAACTATAATGCTGCGGTGTTATCTCTTTTCTACCCTGTTATATGGAGTTGAGGCTTGGACACTAAAACAGTTGACCATAACAATCATCGAAGCTTTCGAGATGTGGTGCTATAGGCGCATTCTCAGAATATCATGGATGGACCGCGTCACTAACACGCAAGTACTCCAAACTTTAGACAAAAGATGCGAAATTCTAAATGAGATAAAAACTAGAAAGATGGAATACTTGGGGCACATTGTGAGAGGTGAAAAGTACGAACTTTTAAGAAACATCATTCAGGGCAAAATTAAGGGCAAAAGAAGTGTGGGAAGAAGAAAAATATCGTGGCTTCGTAATCTACGTGAATGGTTCGGGTGTAGTTCGATTGAACTTTTTAGGCGCGCTGCTAACAAAGTCGCAGTGGCCATGATGACTTCCAATCTCCGCTAGGAGTGGCACGAGAAGAAGAAGAAGAACTATAATACATTAATTTCAAAATCTGTTGATTTTTTCTGGACTTACATTATATTTTTATATGATATTACTACAAAACAAGTTAAAAAATATCATATAAAAACAGGAAGGGATCCCCAAAAAGGTTTTTTTGTCTCTCTTACAAAACTCATGTTACAATAGATAGGAGGTAGGTATTATCACATCACTGACGATTTTCTAAATTTTGTTCTAAATCCCTGATTACATATGTATACCAATATTCCTTCAAATTCATGATACATTTTTAGCCATTCTAGGTGTGCTGCATTTCTCAGATATTTTCTAAAAATATGCTCTGGAAATGTGTCTTTCATCAAACAAAACACACACATATTAAACTGTGTGTAATTTACCTGGTAATGGTTTGTGCCATTGGCAATACAGATAATTGTCAGGCTGGACCAAAAGAAGCCTATGAAAACAAAATTATTTACCATTATTAAGTCCGTTCAAAGCTCTATCGTATCAGTTTGATGAAAGATCACTTCAAATGGGTATTTTCAAATAACTGCAAACAACACTTGTAATCAAACATAGAAATTTGCCCTGTGGCACCTCCAACCTGCATGATCTATATTCTTCTTGAGAGTAAATGTTTTACAGTTTTAAGTTAAGTATTTAGATATGTTTATCAGTAAGTGTACTTTGGTAGTTACAAGAATAGATTGAAAATGAATGTTAACAATTATTCTTTATATTCTAAGTAGAATGAGAGCAAATATAAGGAAGACTTGGTTTATATATGAAATATTTAACCATTTTCAAAGTATTGTTTACATTTGAGAAAGATGAAGATAATAAATAGGTTTAGATAAAAACGGAAACAAAACAACCACATTTATAGAGGTTAATATTAGCAAAGATCTTATGAAATTCAAAACTATATATTTATTTACCATTTATATTGGAAATAAGCCACAATTATAATTTAAAATAAGCTTATTTTGATGTTTAAATTTCCACTTTAAGAATCATCTGTATTTTGAGAATGATTTCTGAAGTGCAAATGGAAACATGAATATTAACTTATTATACAGTAAAACTGTGGCCTATTTCCAAAAAAATAGTAATTTGTATCAAGATGTCGCAAGAAAAAATGCTCCAGAACAATGTATATTTCTGTCTATATTATTTATTTAAAAATTATAACAGTAAGAAACTTTCTACATTTTTTGATATTCTTTTAGATACATGTTTTAATATCACTAATAAACTTTAGAATCACTTTCCTAAGTTCATTCCCTCACTGAAAATATTCGTTGTTCGATTTTGACTCCTTTTCTTTTTCATAAAGTGTATCTGCAAAGCCCTTTGCTGCCTCGTACCTTCTCTTCTTAACCCAGGGGGCATAAGCCAGTTTATAAAACCCTACAAAACTTCCAAAAAATCCCACAAAAGCTACGCCAAGCCACACTGGATTTCCAGATTGTCTCGAAGCAAAAGATCGATGCCAAGACATTTTATTTAGCTTCAATGCTTTCCTCTGTAGACTTACTTAATGGTTGAATGTGGTCGTATCTCTCTGTAGTGAACACTGGTTTCCAAATATAGTAACCACTAACGACTCCTAAAAGAGAACCTACAAATATTTGTGTTGTGGTTAGGTTGCGAGGTTTTCTAATTCTTATTTTCATTACAATGTTTAAATAAAAATAAGAAGCTATGCTGTGTCCTTATAACATATATAAATTAAGGACTAAGGTTATGGTTATGTTATGATTGTTATGTCATAATATGCCAACTTGAACAAAAAAGAAGAAACGACAATATATAGTTGCATAAGTAGTTGCATTAAGCTGCAGCAGTCGCAGTTTGTAAATCTAATTTTCGACTGTAAAGTATTGTAACCATATTAAATATAATTTCAATTAGAAATTGCAGTAAAAAAGATTTTAATGTGTTATACAAAATATTTAAATCGAAATTTTACTTTCAAACATATGAATTTTTAATTCTTTTAGTTATGCAACCAGTATTACAGGAACAAAAAATATTTTTAGTACGTACTATCGATACAGTTCAAAAATTGATAGATTTAAAAAAGTAATCAATTAACTGCATTATATACAGTACTTTGTAAAATAACTACAACCGAGAATGTTAAAAATTTTTTGATATACCTATACCTCAATATTTTTAGTACCTTTTGATGAAGAAAAGGCTTTAAAACTTAGTAACACAAAAACAGACCTATCTTCAATGTGCCCTTTTAATCTTTTAAATTTGATTTTACAATTTTCATCTTTGGATTCTTATAATGCTATACCTACCTTGCCAAAATGCGAGAGAGCCCTATATATTCCTTAGTGGCCGACAAGATAAAAAGAAAAGAATAACCCTTATAAAATCTGTTCTCAAGATAGTTACAAAGTTTGAAAAACACTAGAGAACAGTTGTATTATTGATTTATTTTTATTCTATAAAAGTTCGGTAATTCTGGCAATATGGTTATTATAGTTTATAATTGCTCACTAACCATGTAAGCCCTTCGTAAAGTCCATCTCCAGTAGTAGCACACGTAGGTTGAATATACCAATTTCGATCTCGAATTCGTGTCAGGCCAAGCATTTCTTGAACTTCATGGGGTTTCATAGCTCCTGGTAAGTCTTGTTTGTTAGCTAATATTAATATTATTGCTTCTCTCATTTCTCTATCGTTTATAATCCTATGAAATTCTTCTCTAGCTTCGTTGATCCTATCTCTATCAACACAATCGACTACAAATATCACACCGTGCGTGCCTGTATAATAATGTCGCCAAAGAAGTCTGATCTTTTCTTGTCCTCCAACATCCCATACATGGAATTTCACGTTTTTGTAAGTTATCGTTTCTACATTAAATCCTACGGTTGGTAATGTAGTAGTTGATTGTCCTAATTTTAATTTATATAGTATTGTGGTTTTTCCTGCTGCGTCTAAACCTAGAAGTAAAATTCTCATCTCTCTGTTGCCAAAAATTGTTGAAATTAATTTCCCCATTTTATTTAAATATTCTACTTGCCACTATTCTTTATAACATCATTTCTACTTTTGACTTTTTTAAAATAACAAAATAAATTAAGTGGATAGAAAGACAGAAAGTAGAAAGTGATATAATGACGTTGACAGATATCCCTTATTTTAATTTAATTTGATTGACAAACGCTTGGATTTGAAAAATATTTTGTACCTCAAAGTAAGAGGCCACAAGAAATATATAAAAAGAAGACCTACAATTATTTTTTCCTTGTCTAAGTCATAGATAAGAAGGTTAGGTTATGGTCTAAGTTTTTTGTATATTTTACATTTTACAATACGAATATTATATTATTTATCTATGGTTAAAGCGTTTACAGTCCAATCGAAATCTGTGCAAAGAGCTGGTTAGTCAATCAATCGAGCATTAGATTTTTGTCGAAGCATTTTCAGAAGATTTTATGTATGCACAATTGAAATTTTAAAAAATTATAGAATACACAACAAACTTGAGCAGGACATAAGTAACACACAATTTGGATTTAGAAATGCACTGGGAACGAGGGAAGAAGCCCTGTTCGCTGTGAATGTACTTATGCAAAGGTGCATGGATGTTAATCAGCCAGTATATATGTGTTTCTTGGATTACACAAGATCTTGACTTTGTGTTGATTACGTTCGCAATAAATAATTTCGTCTACAGTGGTGAGATATGGCTGGGGAATAATTATGGTAAGGGTGACTTGGTTCAATTACAGTTTTCTATAGATGGACAAGTGTTTTACGTTGAGAACTTATTATGTGAACCAGTGTGAACGAGGGTGCAACGGAGGAACTGTTTATAGAAGATGGTTATTTTACCTTTGGCACTGTGTACATTGTTTTCACGCCTACTGTCAACAATGCTATAATGTCTCTAATGATTTAATGGTTCTATTATATGTATTTTTTACTGTAAAAGTGTAAAATAATAAAAACATCTAAAAAATCTTCTCTCTTTTTTTTTGAATAATATTATTTTGCTTAGAATATAATAAAAGTATTGCATTCCGAATATTGGGATATGAACTATTTCTTTATATTACGGTTACAATACCACAGAACTTTTGCGGTTTTCTGCAACACTGATATTTAAACAGGAATCTTTACTAATTTGTAAATAATCGAATTAGATACTCGATTCAAAACATAATTCTTTACAACTAAAAACCAACTTGTTAAAAATAGTTTCTCTTTATCATATTTTATGTTTGCGGCTTTTTATATTTAACACACAAGTTTTAAAAATATAATTGCAATATTCATATCGTCAAACTATTCGCTTTTGCATTATCCTCTGCGGTTTGTACACGGATTGCTTCGTCATGACCATCTTTGATAAATACTTTTTTTTTATACCTATTGAAGCCTACATAATTCAAATGACCGATTGGACTAAAATAGTAGTCTGGGCGTCTAGTCATGAACGTATGGGTCGTTTTTATTTATTTAATAAATAATACTTTGATTAAAAACTGCCGAGTTTGTGGTCGGAATCTGGGGAAATTTGAGATACGGGGCTGGGGAAATTTGCCCCATTCTCCATAAGGCCGGAACAGTTTTTCCCTAGATCTGGGGACGAAAAGTGGAGTGAAATGGCTACCTTTCTACTAACAAAGCCTTCGATAAGGTCAGACATAACCATCTTATCGAATTACTTGAAATAAAAAACTTAGATATGAGAGACATTAGGATCATTATCGCTATCTATTATAAACAGATCGCTGTGGTAAAAGAGAACAACGTCTTTTCAAATGAAATACAGATTGAGAGGGGCGACAGGCAGGGCTGTGTCCTGTCTCCTAGTTTGTTCAATTTGTATTCAGAGGAAATAATCCAGGAAGCACTAGAAGGCCTAACTATGGGAATAAAAGTAAATGACCGACCAATCAATAATATACGGTTTGCCGACGACACTATTTTATTAGCGGAATGTCTTGAGGATTTACAACAAATGGTTGGCAGAGTGCTAGAAGTCAGTAAAGTAAACGGACTGTCCCTAAACACAAAACAGACACAATTTATGGTAATTACAAAAGCCAACAGCGCCAAGAAAACAACAATACATTGAGAACAAATTAAAAAGTTGAAAAATATAAATATCTGGGTACAATAATAAACGAAAATAATGAGTACATAGAAGAGATTAAGGCAAGAATAGGACAGGCAAGAAACTCTTTCAACAAATTGAAAAAAGTACTCTGCAGCAGGGACATTTAAATTTTTTTAAAGATAAGACTTCTGAGATGCTACGACTTTGAGTTATGGGCCTACAGAAGGATATTAAGAATAAGTTGGGTGGATAGAGTTATGAATATTGAGGTGTTAAGAAGAATGGGGAAAGATAAAGAGGTTTTATATACAATTAAAGTCAGAAAACTGCAATATCTGGGACATGTCATGAGGGACGAGCATTATCACTTGATATTAATAATGCAAGGTAGAACACAGGGTAGAAGGAGTCGCGGAAGAAGACTCATCTTCTGGTTAAACAATTTGAGAGCTTGGTTTAACTGCACTTCTGCTGACCTCTTTAGAGCAGCGGTATCGAAAGTGCGAATTGCATTGATGGTTGCCAAACTTCTTAGAGGAGATGGCACACGAAGAAGAAGAAGACAATTGGAATAGTTCTATAGTTCTAATTTACAAAGGCTAGTTCAAAATTTGGACATTGTTAACGAGAAGGCAACCAGAATATAGCCTCAAATGTCAACAATGGGACAAAATATTTGGATTTGGCACTATTGGCATGTTATATGACTCAATTATAAAGAAACAAAGCTTTTAAAAATTACATTTTGATTATATTATTTTATGAATTCTGCAATTTTTTAATTTATATTAAAGAAGAACAAGTAAATCGCTGAATCGCTCATTTCTGAAAGGACTTAAGTGCTATTTTAATATGCAAAATTAATTATTGACCCAAAACCTACCGTTTGGTGCAGAAATGAACTTAATTCGAATATTCCTTATTTGCATTTCTGTCTGAGAAAATAATGGTTTAGCAAACTAACTTAGTCCTTTTAAGAAATAAAAATTTAAATTTGTGTCATACTGTATTTGACCTTGGACGACAATGGAAATAGAATAATAGGATTTGCAGCATCCAAGGGCATGGTCGTTGGAAGTACCTACTTCCCCCATAAGAATATCCATAAAGTAACATGGACGTCGCTTGATGGTACAACCAAAAATCAAACAGATCACATCCTAATAGAAACCAGGCACTTCTCTAATCTAATGGATGTACGTACTTATCGTGGAGCTAATATAGATTCAGACCACTTCTTAGTAGGCGCAAAAATAAGAGCAAGAATCTCAAATGCAAAAAAAGAAAAGGGTAAGAAAAGTACTCGCTACAATTTAAAACTCTTGAAAAAGCCCCGTGCACTAGAAAGGTATCAAAATTACCTTGAACATGAAAGCACAACAGATGAGAATTTAACAGCTAGCGAGCAATGGGATATATGTAGAAGAACAATTAAGGAAGCGGCAAACAACGTCCTAGGACCAGAAGAATCCACTCCACGCAACAGTTGGTTCGACGATGAATGTGAAGATATTACTAAAAGAAAAAATTATGCATATAAACTTATGCAACAAAGAAGAACACGGGATAAGGAGCAAATGTACAAAGATCTTAGGAAGGAGGAAAAACGCATACATCGAAGGAAAAAGCAGACCTTCGAAAACCAGATTATGCAAGAGCTTCAATCATTAAAGGGGCAAAATGAAACTAGAAAGTTCTAGAATATCCTAAATAAGACAAGAAAAGAATTTAAACCACGGCTGACCATGTGTAGAGACAAAAATGGACATATAGTCAGTACCGCTGACGCAGTACAAAGCAGATGGGTTGAGCACTTCAAAGAACTACTTGGTACCGAAGTGGAGAATGATGCGTCACCCCAAAGACCAAGAAATAACACTCACGTAGAACCTCCTTCAATATTTGAAGTGAAAGACGCAATCACACGACTCAAAAATAGCAAGTCCCCAGGAGTGGATTGTATCCCCGCAGAGCTCATCAAACATGGAGGTAACAGCATTATGCACCAAATTCACAACATAATAGTCAAAGTCTGAGAAGAAGAACAAATGCCAGAGGAATGGTGCACTGGAATCATATGTCCACTGCACAAAAAGGGAGATTTGTTGGAATGTAAAAATTATAGGGGTATAACTCTTCTGAATACAATGTACAAAATATTCTCCAACACCCTGTACAGCCGTTTAAGTACGTACGTGGAAGAAATCCTTGGTGAGTATCAAAGCGGTTTTAGGCCAGGTAGGTCAACAATTGACCAGATTTTTGTGCTACGTCAAATCTTAGAAAAAACCAATGAATTTAATATTGACACGTTCCATCTCTTTGTGGACTTTAAGTCAGCGTATGATAGCGTCCTAAGAGGTAAATTATACGAAGCCATGAATGAACTTAACATTCCCCATAAATTAATAAGGCTCGTAAAAACAACTATGAGTAAAGTGATCTGCAGAGTGCAAATACAAGGCGATATGTCACAAGTGTTTGAAACATATGCAGGGTTACGGCAGGGAGACGCGCTGGCGTGCCTTCTCTTTAATATAGCGTTAGAAAAGACTATAAGAGATGCCGAGTTACACAATAGGGAAACTTTAATAAATCAACGCAGATTATGGCTTACGCTGACGATCTGGATTTGATCGCACGTACTACACGAGGACTTAAAGAGATGACTTCCACCTTCTTGACAGCCGCACAAAATATGGGCCTTAAAATAAACGAGGAAAAAACCAAAATGTTAGCATCTATTTCAAATAACAGAGATAGAGCTAGAAACGCCGAACAAAACTTCAGTATAGACCAATATAATTTTGAGGTAGTAAATAAGTTTACATATTTGGGTTCTCTCATAACAAACGATAATGACACATCTGAAGAAGTTAAACGGAGGGTACTGCTAGCAAACAAATGATATTTTGGACTAAGCAAGCAGCTAAAAAACAGAAATTTAAGCCAGAAAACCAAACTAATAATATATCGAACACTCATCCTACCAGTGCTGACATATGGGTCAGAAACATGGACCATCTCCAAAACAGACGCAAATCTTCTGCTCGTCTTCGAAAGGAAGATACTAAGAAGAATAATGGGCGCATTCTGTGAGAATAATATTTGGAGAAGGCGATATAATTTCGAATTGTACGAGAAGTATAAAAAAAAATAGTAAATGGTAGAGATGTAATATCCTTCATAAAAATAGGTAGGCTTAGATGGGCTGGACATGTGTCAAGAGCAAATGAAAATTACCCACCCAGACGAACTCTATTATCGGTCCCAGTGGGAAATAGGAGTAGAGGCAGACCACGACTGTGATGGAGGGACGGTGTGGACGAGGACGCAAGGAAAATCGGCGCGGCAAATTGGCAACGGTTGGCGATGAACAGAAACGACTGGCGAAATAGACTGGGGAAGGTCAAGGCTCAACTAGAGCTGTAGCACCACTGATGATGATGATGTATTTGACCTTGCGCTCTGTTTTAGTTTAAAATGCAAGCCTCGTGTCGCAAATATTTTCAGTGATTTACCGGCTTCGATACTGTATGCAGTTAAGACTAATATAATTACATTTTTCTGGCAATATGTCTAGTTCGGACGAAAATAAACGCACTGAAAGTGAAGGGGAGCCACCTCAATCAGATAATCTTAGTAAAAGACGGCGAGGTGTGAGAAATGATGATAATTACCAAATAAATTTAATCAAAAAAGCAAGAGTTAGTGGTACTGCCACTGCGTGTACAGATTATAAAGGCAAGATGGTTGCTGCTAGGCAAATGTGAGGTGCTTGCAAGTAAGTTAAATAAAGTTATAGCTTGAATAGCCTAGATATATAGATGCGTTATTTTTTTGGATGTAAAATGCAGTGTTTTACTAAGCTAAACAATGAGCAAAAACAAATAGTATTTGAGAAATTCTAGAAAATGCAAAACAAGGATAAATAGGATATGTTATACCTTCAAGGGCTGATACATTAGAAAAATGTAGCAAAACGAAGAAGTCAGAAAAATGAAAACAGTAAATTAAGGAAAGTATCTTTTGATCATTGTATTCGCGTTGAAGATCTGAGAGTAAAACTGTGCTGTAGGGCTTTTTTAAATTTGCAGACTGTAACTCAAAAAAAAAAATAAAGCGAATAAACGCATTGATTAAAAATAATCAAACGTAGCAAAAATATTAAACGGACAATGCCAGAACATCAAAACATATCAATTCGTCAGCACATTCAAAGCTATCCAGTAAAAGAAAGTCAGTATTCGGGAAAAAATATAAATATCTAGATAGGCTTAATATAAAAATTATTTACAAAATGTTTAAATTCAACTATCCTAAAACGAAAATTAAATATAGCTATACCTACATTTTTTTCGAGAAAACTTTATTTTGAAATTTCATCATCATCATCCTTGGCTTTTACAACTCTTCGTGAGTTTTTGCCGCGTTTACTATTGCCTTCCATTGATTCCGATCCTGTGCTATTATTTCCCATGGCCTTACTTCCATCTTCTCCAGGTCTTCCCTGACTGCGTCTTTCCACCTTTTTCTAGGCCTTCCTGTCGATCTTTTACCATCTGGTCTTTCTCAAAACACATTGCTAATCAGTCTGTCGTCATCACTCCGTACCACGTGGCCTGCCCATCTTAATCTATTGGCTTTTCTGTATCTTACGTTGTTTCCTTTCCCGAAGAGAGTCTCTATTTCATTGTTGTATCTGCTCCTCCATTCATTTGTCACGCTGTCTCTGCAAGGACCATATATAATTCGCAGGATTTTGAATTTAAAAATCAAAAGTCCCTCTCTTTAAAATGGCTCAAAAAAGTGGCGGTTGAAGAATTGTTGGTATATAAAAAAATTTAAAGAATACTGTTAAATAGTGTCACGATAGAAACGACGTGGTAGGGCATTTTGCATATAGTCAAATATATGCAAAATGTTCATCTACCACATATACCTGTACAAGAAGTCTTCTTTAAGACCTAACTAACGGTTAATGTATTTTGCAAACATAATCTTAAAACAGAAAATTCTTTTTCTATATTTATCACGAAGGACAGGCCAATAAGGGCACTAATGAAGTATAAACTTTTTTGTGACAACTGCTCTGGGCAAGATAAGAACCACATTATTAGAAGATTATGTTTGACCTTACAAATATGAGGCGCTTCGAGAAAATTTAACATATTTTCCCATTAGAGGGCACTCCTTCTTGGCCTGTGAAAGTTATCTATATCATAAACATAAAAAAGATGTTTCATTTAAAATAAAAATAGACCTGTTTCAGGATATAATGTATTGAAAAAACTACAATAAATCTCACGATATATTTTTCCTTAATAAAACTAAAAAATTCAAAAGATTCGTTAAAGTGCTTTCTAATTTATAATATAATTTATTTATTTATTTTTTAAAGATTTTTCTAAAAACTAGTTTAAATGACAGATTTTTTGTAAACAACTCTCCTAGAAATACACAAAAGGATAAGCATAAACCCGCAATTAAAAAGAAGAAGCAGCTTTGGAGATTTGCTAGCGAAAGCTTGCGGTTTACCGACTGGTAGAATTTGTATTCCAGTTTCGCATTCTCCACTGACGATTCGTACATCCATTTATCCATTAAACCAGCCTCAAGTATATTTTGAATTAAACGGTCTATTCTCGGGTAAAGTGGATGATTCTTCTTAAGTACTATATGAGTGCTTCCAGACGCCAACTAAAAATATATAAAGATATAGTTGTCAAATAAAATCAGATTAGGGGAAGCCGGGGGAATACCGCGCACGGGGGAATATCGCGCATCAGTATCTTGGCAACACGGCGCCGTCTCGTATTTGTTAGCCGACCACATGTTTGTAATATGACTGCATTCGTAGTATTGGTTTAGACAAGGTCACAGATTGTTTGTTTTTCAAGACTTTGATGTAATTTTCGACTAATCTTTAACAGGTTGACTGCGTTCACAAAATATGTAAACCTCTAAACTGTGCATTACCGGTCCCCCGGGACCGGTGGCTTGGCGCAAACACGGTGCGTTACCGACCGTCGGGGACCGGTAATGACGTAATTATTTTTTTTATTTCTACAGTTTTACAATATACATTATAAGAGTTTTAAGATCAATTACTAAAAGCAAAAACATTTAAAAACTTACCATTGTCATTCGTTTTTTGATCAGGTTTCCTGTTAAGAATATTTTTGAAGTGTCAAGACAGCTACTATTTTTTTACAGATTTAGATTAAAAGAGTAAATGATACAAAACTTCTTAATATTTTATTAGTGTAAATGATATTTGAAAACAAAAAATATGTCCTAAACTAAATAATATGTTATTAGTTATTAAACAAAAAACAATAAAGTTTCAGGAAATTAAACAATTTTTTCTTAATTATTAAACAAAAAACAATACAGTTTCAGAAAAATAAACTATTTTTTATGAATGCTATTAAAGCAAGATAAACACATTCCTGGTTGACCAGGACATTCATTGCAATAACTTGTTACTTTTGTCACCATATTACTTACCTGTTTGCTTGAATGTGTTTCTCTTAATTTATGATAGCATCCTTGGCATTGTCTTCTCCTTTTCTTTCCAGGTCCTGATGGTTTAACAAAAGTATGGATAACTCTTTTGGGAGTAGTGGTGTTTTTGTATGCAACTGGAGTAACAAGTAACTCTTGTGATAATCTTTTTCTAAATTCCATTATAGATAACTTTGTGGAACAAGTAATATTGTTATAAACAATCCAGGCATTTACAATAGATGTTCCGAGCAAAAATTCAAAAGCTAGTTTACGGTACCATTTTAAACTTTTTCTTAAAACGGAATGATACGAACTCATCTGATCACTAAAGTCTACTCCTTTTTTTGCTTGATTGTAATCAATAATTGCCTTTGGTTTCATCACAAGCTCACGTTGCCAGTTCCGCTTTCCTGTTGGTTTTAAGGTAGTTGTATGGGTTGGATCAGTACTGGCCGTTTGTCCATCCATCTTATAATACGTAACGAGTTGTTCCGAGCACCCCAAATTTCTCCTTTTTTCATTTTTTTAGATATCGTTTTGGGAATACCTCTTCTGTTAGACCTCAGGGTTCCACAATAAATTATTTTTTTTTTGAATAACGATTTGGCTAAAGGTAAACTGGAGTAATAATTATCAGCATACAAGTAGCGGTAGTAACCATCTTTGAATTCAACATTTTGGAGAAGGTCATATACTATCTGCTCACTTTGACAAGTATTTGCATTAGTAGTCGTATTTTTACCACGATAAACGATTATGTTGTTAGTATATCCATCCACTGTACATAATTTATATAATTTAATTCCATACGGGTGTGTTTTATTTGGGAGATATTGCTTTATTTGTAGTCTTCCTTGATAAGGTACTATACTTTCATCGACAACCAAAATCCGTCCTGGTGTTAATGCAGCTTGAAAATTTTTACTCAATACTTTTAAAACTTCACCCAACTTATAGAGCCGATCATCTTTATTACACTGCTCATTATTACAAAAATGAATGCAATGCATCAATAAAAGGAACCTGTCTCGTCTCATGGTATTAGTAATAAACTCATTCCTGAACATGGGATCTTTTGACCAATACAAATTTATTGCGGGACCATCAACTAATCCCATAACTATACATATTGAAAAAAAACGTTTAAGTTCGGCTACATCGCAGTCAACCCAGGAACGTATACGTGATTTTGATCGATGTATATTTAACAACATTTGCCGAGCAAATCTATTTGTTTCAGTAACAATATTCTGTAAAAGATCATCAGTTACAAATAACTTGTAAGCGTCTATAGGATTTTTTATTTCATTAACGTTAAAATTTAATATAGGCAACTCTTGATATTGTTGCAACTCACCAGCTTCATTGTCACTCTCATTTATATCATGCCACTCGTTTTCATCATCATTTTCAGATTCTGACATTTTTTCACTTTCAATTTCTGTCTCATTATTATCATCAAATAAATCACTCGTACTTACATCACTGCAAGAGTCATCTGAAGAAAGAACATAGTTTTTGTCGATTACAGAATCGTCCGAATCAAAAGGATCGTCCCGTTCATTTTCACTGTCACTGTTTGGCAACTCTGCAAGCACATGATCTCTTGAATCACCAGGACTTTGGCGCGCATTTACAACACTTGGGTTATCTTCGTTATATTTTTTATTTTCAAATGAAGTACTCGGTTCGTTACACTCTATAGTTTTTGTTTTGTTTGTATCAGCTGTTTTAGCTAAAAACAAAATCTTTTTAACGCGAGATGACATTTTTAGACTAGTAAAACACAGACATAAACACACCTACTATTGAAATACAAACGATACTAAACGTGGATTGACTGCGCAAGCAAGCATATATAAATAAGCACCGGTCCCACAGGACCGGTCTCGCACCCGAGTAACAAATTGTAATGTCTGTGCGTTACCGGCCCCCAAAGCCCGGTACATTTTTTTCTTTTAAATATGTTTGGAATCTTGAAACAAGTATAATGCTGTTTTTAGCATTTAAAACAAACGAATATTAACGAAGATATGCTTTTCGCAATTTTTAAAAGTTTGCAGTTTTCACATACCGCACTTTAATAATAACGAACACCGGTCCCACGGGACCGGTGACGCAGTCAACCTGTTAAACACAGTGCGCCGTCTCGTATTTGTTAGCCGACCACATGTTTGTAATATGACTGCATTCGTAGTATTGCTTTAGACAAGGTCACAGATTGTTTGTTTTTCAAGACTTTGATGTAATTTTCGACTAATCTTTAATAAGCGATAAGTGCTTTTGTTATTAATTTTTATTAAAACTATTCAGTGATTATTTTGATTTATATGTATAGATAATTTCACTTACAAAAATAATGCATTTTATTTAGTCATTACCGAACAGTGATAAGTTAAATTAGGTTACTCGTTTAGGGGGAATACCGCGCAGCTGTGTCGGGGTAATTTCGTGGTGCGCGGTATTACTCCGTGTAAACATTTTTGCTGATATAGTGTTTTTATTGCATTTTAGAATCTAAAATGCCCCGTGCTTACGTTCGGAAAACAAAGAAATAGACAGAAGATGAACTAAAAGCTGCGATCACTGCAATACGATCTGGTCAAAAAATACGAGAAATAGGTCGATAATTCAATTTTCCAGAATCCACTCTACGTGACAATCTAAAGTCCAATAGCCATAAAAAAATTGGCAGGAAACTAATTTTTAATGATAAACAGGAATCCACCATAGCCAACCATGTTAAAAGTTTCAAATATGTTTTTTGGAGTCACACCATCAGAACTAAGGCGTTTAGCATACCAGTTTGCTGAAGACAATAAAATAAAACACCGTTTTGACTCGATAAAGAAGATCGCTGGTGAAGATTGGTTAGAACACTTTTTAAAGCGTCATCCAGACATAAGTGTTAGAAAACCCGAAAGTACCAGTCAAAACCTCATTTCTGCATTCAGTAAAGATGAGGTTGAACGATTTTTTAACAATTTGCTCACAGTTATGGAAAAGTTCAAATTTCCTGAGAGTCGAATTTTTAATGTAGAGGAAATGGGCATGGGTCCAGAAACCATTAAAAAATTAGGCACCAAAAGGTCAAAAGCAAGTAGGACCCGTAATATCTTGGGAAAGAGGGAAAAATGTTATCATAATATGCGCTGTAAATGTTTCAGGACAGTTTTTTCCCTCCTATGTTTATATTCCCTCAAATACGTATGAATCCACAATTAATAAGAGGAGGCCCAATTGGAGCAATTTACAGATGTTCAAAAAACGGTTGGATAAAAGAAGAGTTATTTTTCGACTGGATAAAACATTTTTGTCAGCATATAAAGGCCTCGAAAGAAGATCCAGTGCCTCTCATATTGGATAACCATGGGAGTCACATCTCTTTGGAGATTTATACTGCAGATCACACGGTATTGCTTTCAATCGTGAATGCGACTTGTATCTGAGAACTTATACTCATGAAAAGATCACACAATTTGAACTTGCTTCAGAATGTCAGAAAGTCATAACAGAATCATAACAGAAAGTCATGATTAATTTTGTGCCTTAGTCTCATAATAACAAGTGACAAATATAACTGGTTATGAATAATAATTGTCGGGAAGATAGAAGACAGAGGTGGACTAGGTAGAAGAACAATATTATAGCTTGGACAGGCATAAACTTTCGACAATTAGGTCCTAAGAGCGGCACAGAATAGAGAAGAATAAGAAATGATGATACACCCAAATGAGAGAGGAGAGACAAATATAGCTGTTGTTGGCTGATTAGATAGATATCATCATTCAATCTTCGCTTATCTACTGCTGGACATAGATCTCCCTCATAATTTTCCATCTATTTCGATCTTGTGCCTCTTGCATCCAATTTCTATGACAACGTTTTGGATCGTCAGTCCAATGTGTTAGTGGACGACCTGCTTCGGTAGGCATCATCTCTTGGTCTATATTCCAGTATTCGCTTTGTCCATCTATTATCTGTCATTCAAGTCACGTGACCTGTCCAGTTCCCTTTCAGTGTTGCTACTCTCTCTACTGTATCAGCCACTCCTGTTCTTTGTCGTAGCTGGCTATTTGGGATCTTGTCTCGTAGTGAAACGCCCAACATAGCTCGCTCCATCGTCCTTTGGCACACACGGATCTTTTGAACTGTTCTCCTTGTCATGGGCAACGTTTCCGCACCGTAAGTCCACACTGGCAAAACACACTGTTTAAAGGTTTTTCTTTTAAAGTATATTGGTATATCAGACGATTTGAAAATATGGTTCAGCTTGCCGAAGGCTGCCCAAGTCAGTCTTATACGACGGAGAAGCTCAACAGTTTGGGTATCTTTTCCTATGTGGATCTCGTGACCTAGGTATTTATCGGCCATTACCTGGTCTGTGGATCTTGTTTCTATGCATATATCATCACTGACTACAAGATTTGTCACCATCTGGGTTTTAGATATATATATTTTCAATCTCCCTTCTAGCGAGGAAAGGTAGAGCTGATTTAAAAGTTCTTTGGCCTCATCTATCCGATCAGCTATTAGTACAATATCCCATTTATGCCCATGTCGGTCAGTTTTGCTCTTTTACATATATGTTCCAAAAGCGTAGTGAATTAATATACTTAATATATAATAATAATTAATACTCATACGCTTATGAAACGCACCTGGCGGATCATAAGGGCCTTCACATTTTACTCTTTTTCAACTTGTCTTGAGTGAAATGTCTTTAATCTTTCCTATCAGCCTCTCTTGGCTACCTCTTGTTTCTTCCGACCCCGAATGGCGATTAGGAATGGCGATTTGATAGATATATAAAACAAAAAATAAATATTTATGTTACAATACATACCGGATCATCAGTCATGATTTCGGCATATTTAATATTTTTCACTAATCTTAAGAAGAGTGTCAGACTAACATATCCGTATGTTTGATCTTTTAAAAACTGTTCTAAGTCTTTCATTGTGTTCTTTATAACCAAACGACGTTGTATAACTTCTCGAAATACCTCTTCGCCTCTAAGTTTTAATGCGGATAAAACGTATTCGTGACACTGCAGAAGGTATCTTGATTTTAGAAATTGATTAAGAGTTTTAATCTTCGGTGTCTGTTCTGGGCTGGTTAAGATTGAGCTTAATTTGGTTTGATGAAAAGTAGATATGTGGTATACAAACCACAGTAGAAAAGCCAGAAATACCATTGATTTTAGACTCGTAACCTTACCCAGTTCTGTCTCCATCATGATAAACAATTTGTAAATTGAAAATATAGCGTCCTTTAGTTTTATTTTGAGCAATATCTTCCAGATTCCCACTGATATTATAAATACAGCTCCCAGGGGAAAATATACGTCGTATGGAAATACAACCAGCATATTGGGTTCGATTAGTTTTCGAGCTGGAGATATAAGATACACATAGTCTACATTCACCGATCTGGTATATTCACATTCATAATTTGGAATTCTCTTGGAGTAAAGATTTCCTTGAAATCCAGCATCTATATTATACGTCTCCATGTCATAGATAAATAGATCATAGCTGTCGTGTTTAATTTGATAGCCAATGTAATCATGAACATTAATAAAGTTCATTTTTAAGTTTAGCTGTGACTGGATCGTGCGAGCTAAAGCAGCATAAACGCCCTTTTTTGTGATTTGATTAAAATATACAGGAGCAGGTCCTATTGTTATATCGAAATTACACAAATTTAATTTAGTTGGAATCTTCCAGCTAAACGGATTTCCCCTTTCAACTTTAATTAAATTATATTCTTTACCACAATTATTTTCGTTCGTATAAGGAAACCACGTGAAAAATATATTTAAATCTGTAGATACGATTACATTGTAAATATTGAACATCCATAATTGTTTGAAAACAGTTTTTATCCCAGATTCTGTTAAATTTTTAATCAAAATTACAAATTTCGATGTGCTGTGCCAGTTTCGGGACATATTAAACGCTGTCAATGTGATTATAAACGATTCAAGACTGTTATCAAGAAACAAAAAGTCTCCAAATGGTTGTAGTAAATTATTTTCTTTAGTCATATTTTTGTTATTATTCGTTTTGGTGGTTGTAATAAGTATAAAAAGCTGTCATCTTTATTTGTATCTGCAACAATTGTTATACAATCCTTGCTTAAATATTTGTTGACAAAATCAATTATTTTGAGATATATTTCTGTTTTTGAAAGCAGCATTTTACAGTCCACACTTGAATTAGATATAATAATATAAAAATAAAACAATACTTTTGCAAATAACATGGCTCACAGTAATATTAGATTATGTTATTTGTAACACAAAGCTTTTGCTACTAAACTAGACAGTTTTCTTTTAATTATCTACTACTATTTGCATTTTTATGTAATCAACCACCACACAGTGGTTCTACTTAAACATATATGTATATGCAGATGTTATCGGAATATTTGTAGCTTAGTTAATTTACTGAAATTTTTTGTGTATTTATGCCTTAACATCTAAAGCTCATCGACATATTTATTATGGATTTATTATTTATGAAGTAAAATATGAAATTGTTTTTTAATGTTAATTCTATCGTTAAGTATCAGCTGTAAAGTATCTTTCAGTTTGTATTATAATTTTTTTTGCGCTACCTATACAGAGAAAGACGAATTCTTATTCGAAATAAGATGATTTGATGGCATCAATTTTTCCGGAATTATGTAACCCCTTATGTTTGCCAAAGTAAAATCTTCTACTTCTTAAAGTGCCCTATTCTCAATGGAGGTTGGCTACTACAATTTTAAACTCTTCTCTGTCTTCAGCTGTTCTTATTAGCTGTTCAAAATTTAGCCCTGTCCATTGTCGGATGTTTCTGAGCCACGATAGTCTTTTCCTTCCTAGGCCTCTCTTTCCCTCGATTTTTCCTTTCACTATAAGTTGGGCATCTTGGTACTTATTATTTCTCAGTATGTGGCCTAGGTATGATGTTTTTCTAACTTTTACTGTGTTAAAAAGTTCTCTTTCCTTGCCTATTCTATGCAGCACTTCTTCGTTTGAGGTACAGTATTGTGCGAATTAATGGAATCACTGTGATTTTTTTTTTTCATTTTTTCAATATTCACAAGAAAATGTTTTGGGGATGTTTTTCATACATGGGGGTTGGATCTTTGGTGCCAATTGAAGGCATGATGAATAGCCAAAAATACAAATCCATGTTGGAAAAGTATTTGGACAAACAACTCCAAAAATGTCAACCCCAAGGAGGAGCGATTTTTCAACAGGACTCTGCTCCCTGTCACAAATCAAAGGAAATGATGGCATTTTTCAAAAATAAGAAGATTAATGTTTTAGATTGGCCCGGTAGTTCGCCCGACCTCAACCCCATTGAAAATGTATGGGCCATTTGCAAAGCTAGACTGCGAAAAATCGACTGTACCACTATAACAAAAATGATAGAAGCAGCCATTCAGGTTTGGTATCGAGATGAAAGGATATCTGACAACTGCCAGAAACTCATAGAATCTATGCCAAAACGGGTAAAAGCAGTAATTGCTGCCAAAGGGAGACATATTTCCTACTGAATGATGTAAGTTTACCTTTATAGTTTTGTCAAAATATAATTTTTTACTAAATAAACTATTTTTTCATTATAACAGCCTATGATTCTATTAATTCGCACAATACTGTATGCGATGTCCAAGAAATTTTAAGTATTCTCCGGTAGATCCACATTTCAAAGGCCTCCAATTTGTTTTACGGTTGATGTTTTAAGGGTCCACGTTTCAACTGCATACAGAAGAGTCGACCAGACGTAGCATTTTAGCAGGTACTTAAATCTATTGACCTGTTCTAAAATGTGCCCATTTATTGTGCAAGGTTGAGGTACGTTTTGGTTTTTTCGGATTGAGATCACTTTGGTTTTTTTTAATGTTTATTTTCATACCAAATTGCTCACAGGTCGAGTTGGTCTTGTCGATGAGTCGTTGTAGACCTAAGTCGGAATCCGCAATTAACACTGTATCATCGGCGTATCAGATACTGTTGATATTTACGCCATTCACATTGACTCCATCCTTGGAATCCTCCTATGTTTCTTTAAATAGAAACTCGGAGTAAAGATTAAACAGCAGAGGCGACAGAACACATCCTTGTCTAACTCCCCTTTTAATTTTTACTTCTGCGGATGTGGAACGTTCGATACTAACTCTGGCGTTTTGGTTCCAGTACAAGTTTTTTAAGAATTTAATGTCTTCTTCATCTAAACCGACTTCTTGCAAACGTTCTAATACTAGGTCGTGTCTTACTCTATCAAATGCTTTTTCGAAGTCTATAAAGCATATAAATATATCTTTCTGTTGGTCGTAGCATTTTTGGGCGAGAACTAGTAAACTGAACAGGGCTTCTCTCGTTCCCATGCCGGCTCTGAATCCAAACTGATCGTCTCCGATGATTGTTTCGCACTTTCTATAGATACGATTATGTACGATTTTTAGTAGGACTTTTACTGCATGACTCATAAGGCTTATCAGACGGAACTCATTGCAGTGTTGTGGGTTTGGCTTTTTTGGTAGTGGGATGAATATTGACTCCAGCCAATCTTGGGGTATTTTACCTGTATCATAAATGCGATTGAATAAAAGGACAAATATTTCGATATTTTCTTCGCTGATTAATTTTAACGTTTCTGGGTATATTCCGTCTGGACCTGGGCTTTTATTTGTTTTGACATGATTAATTGCATTTATGATTTCAGATTTCAGAATTGCTTGCCCTTCGTTGTTATTTTCCAATCTTGGTTCTTCTCGTATGTCGTGAAAAAGAATTTTAATATAAAATTCCACGAGGAAACTAAGTTCCTGTAGCTGGCTGTATACCATATATCACAAAACAATTTTGTTAAAATCCTTTATAAAAGGTATATAAAAATGCCTCAAACGGGCTATCACAAACACATTGCAAAACGTTTTCGGATTAAACAATCCATCATCAGTGCAAACGGTTGTACATGCTAGTAGCCACCAAAATATATGGGTAAAAACCCTTTAAATGTTATAAATTTGAATTTGTTTTACATTATTAGTATTTCTAATTTGTGATGGTTAAGTTACCGTTGGATAGGTAACATGGCGGCGTATGACTCTACATGAGTAAAATTGTCCTGAGACGAAGTGTCTACGAGGACCTGTTGATAACAACTGAACAGTTGTTATCCATATATGGTCCATATTTGGTCTAAATATATAAAATTTGCCCTTTCTTCTTTTAATTTAGAATATTTTCTTAGAAAGTTAATTCTTTTATGCACAACAGAACTTCTTTCACAAAGGGCTTTTCTGCTATCCTCCTTTTGAAATTTGAAACCCAAATTATGTATCACTGGCCATAGACTTGTTCTGCCAATTTCGTCAAATTTTCTATATTTTAATTCCGAGAGAATTGTATTTAAAGTCACATGTTCCTTGTTGGCTCGCATTCGATAAATGGTATCACGAATTTCAAATTTTTTTCCATCTGGAATATCTTTCGTTTTCAATGATAGGCGAGTTTTTCGGTGATCGTCTTTCGGCCGTTCATTATTGCGATTTTGTAATACTCCTTTTAGTTTGGTTTCACTAATTCCTAGAGCATCACATACGCGTTGTTGAACAGACATTACCGATTTTAAAGGACCGCCATTTTCTTTTTCATCCGTAAAATACTTATGTACACTACAAATTAGACTATCTACATCTAACACACGTCTAGGCATTTTTAAATATTTTCACCAAACATACAATGTCAACACTGGCAAAGAATCAATTCAACTGCAATATTGTAACAAATTTATACCTACCCTAATGTTATTTTAATGTATTTTAAAATATGACCATTAATGCAGTTTTTACCTAATTTTCTGCGAAGTCGTTTACTGCAACTGGTTATCAATGAGTCATTAGCATAATTTTGTTAATCCGAAATCCGCGTAAATATAGCGAACCGACTATACCTAAATTCATCCGATATTTATAAGTACGGGTAAAATTTTATATTTACAAAGTAAATACGCTATATATATATTTCTTCCAAACAGTCAAAAAGTGATCTTATTACTTACTTTACTTTCCCCTATACCCAGGAAGGTATATTCCTGGTTACCAGGTGTTACAATATCCTGCAATTGCCACTATCATTTCATCAGTAAGCAGTGGTTTTAAAAAATAAATTAAAATCAACTAGGTATTTATTTAATACACAAACAATAATAACAGTAACAACAACAGTAGCAACAACAACAATAACAATGTCAATAACAACACCAACAACAACAATACTATTTGAAATTAAAAATATTCATAGTAAAATTAGCATTACAGTTATAACTTTCGGTTAAAATTTTGTTTCTAGGAGTTTTGAAATTAATCAAGATCATGTTATGATCATGGTTAATTGTACATAGTATATTAACATGTAGGTAAAACATACACTTTGTTCATTCTCGCGCCTGGCAACACAACGTAAAATATAAAATATTCACAAGGTTCCTTCAATAAAAATAATCGACAAGAGTGTAACTCATTCAGTAAATGGTTAGTTTGTTTTCACGTGAATTAGATTAATATTGGCCATAAATAATTTGAGCTTAATAACAAAAAGTTCATATAACTCACCATGTAATAAAAACAGACCGTTTATTAATTCTAAGACGGTAAGAAGTGTGCCGGGTTAGCTAGTTTTAAATAAACTTTACATTTAAATATGAAAACGTCTTCTTTTTATGAAGATGCCATTAAATGATACATGTCTTGCCATTAATTCTCTTAAAAATGTACAAAAGGAGACACTTAAACCAGCAATTAAAAAGAAAAAGCAGCTTTGAAGGTTTGCTAGTGACAGTTTGCGGTTTACTGATTGATTGAATTTGTACTCCATTTTCGTACTCTCTACCGAGGAGTCGTAGAGCCATTTATCCATCAACCCAGCCTCAAGTATATTTTGAAGTAAACGGTCTATTCTAGTGTAGAGCGGATGGTTCTTCTTAAGTACTATATGGTTAGTTCCAGAGGCCAACTAAAATACATAAAAATATAGTAGTCATATAATATAAAATCAAATTTTAAGTGTTGGGTTATTAAAATCCATCTCCATTCACTACCTTACTAATTATTTAAACTTTACTAATAGAATGTCAAAGCAGATAGCCCATTTTTCTCTCTTAATCTGCCACTTTTTATTTCATTCATGTCTTGCAGATTTTTCCAACACACTATGTAATGTACAGAAAGTACAATATTACCTTGCACCTCTTTATATGTCCTAACAGACCAGAATCTCAACTTTAAGGACTGACTTGTCATCCAGTGCATTAATTCCTGTATCCTGTAGCATTTGTAAATTCCTTAGTATATATTGAAATCCCCTCATATATATTTAAAATATCAAAGAAATGTAGTGTATTTAATTTCCTATTCGTACCTACAAGTTAAAAATACCCGAAATATATTTCGATCACTTTAGTGTCGCCAAGTTGATATAAACACGTTTTAAAGTTTGTTTACATTTCACAGATTCGTATTTTCTTGCGGCATTCTTTTACTCGAAAGCCACTTTTAGGATATTCTGCGTTTCAAATAAATATTCCGGTTATATGTTTTGCTTATACTAAGTTGGAAGTGATTGGTTCTTAAGAATTACGACATTCTCACTGAAGTCGCCGCCAGGGGCAGTTGACTTCAGTGTGGATCCAAATTTTACGTCAAATTTGAAATATTTCTCGGCGTTCGTCCCGGTTCATGGAAAATATGTAGTGTATAGTAGCAGTTTAGCTAATAGTAAGAATTTTAAGTGAGGTTTGGACGAATCGTTGTTTTCATCCTCGTTTTTTTTCTCCCTGGTTGTCATCCCAGGCTTTTTGGCAGTTTGATCGTGTGTTCGTTCCGCAGAGAGTTTAAGTCCAGTTTCTGTGCCCAGAAATTCCAGTGAAGCCAAGTTCTGCCCCCATAAATTCCAGTGAAGTCCAGTTACAGAAAATTTAAAGTAATTTAGTGAAACTCATGTAACTTTTCTTGTTTGAACTTTTGAAGCAAAAATAGACATTTTTTCATTAATTGCTTTCATAGTGTAAAGAAATTGTAATAATTAAAAGAATATGTCTTAGGGTGTGGCTTAGCTGTCAGTTTAATTGTTCTGTTTTAAAATTTAATGTTAACATATGACAGCTAGCTTTATTATTGTTGACATCTGATAAATACCTAATCATATTTAAGATTTTTTAGTCATTTTATTTTTTAAAGAAGGATAACCTCCATGCAGTAACATTTGTAAGTTTTTGTGGTATCTCCAACTTCTAGAGTTTGTAAACGGCTAATTTTTGTTTCAAGTTAAGAAAATAACATTACGCTTATGGAGATCAGTGTTTCCAAAACTCTTAGACACTCTCTTTTGCACAAAAATGTGCAAGATATTCCCTTTGCTTAATTTTTGAATATTCATTTTCAATTAACATTTAACTGTAAAGTCAGAATAACTACAAAATAAAAGCCTTATTATCATTATGTAGGAGAACGACATAAAATCGCTGACATACGCAAATCGTATTATTTTAAGTTGCAATTAGTAATTAGATATACGCATTCCAAGTCCGATTATTTGCTTTTAAAACTTTAATAGGCGGCAAAATGCATGATTTAACTAAGCAATATTTTCTACTGATTTCTATGATTCATGGCTCACCGAAAAACAAATAAACTGTCGTTACTATAATTAAAATAAGATAAAATAAAATAATCTTTTGTAAATACTATTTATCTAATTAAAATCATTTTCCCTACTTTTCATCTCTTGTTTCGAATGGGCACTTTTGGTCAATTACGTTAAAAAACATTAATTTAATTCATGTCTGTGGAAACGAAAATACAAATTATACAACCCTAAATTGTGCTTGTGTGTGTCGTGGCAACGCCGCGTTTCTATCGTCCATAAGAAATACATGGCCCTATCTCCACAATGTTATTTTCTTAACGTGGAACGTAGTATAGGCTGTATGCATCGAGTTAGAATCTATGGAGTGGGCATCACGTGACTAAAAACGACCTCACTTCAGCCATATTGTTAATATTGTTTTGAAACTTTTGACAGATCGTATATGTTTGTTTACATTTGTTGTTTTTCGATTATTTTTAGTTTTATAATACTTTTATAGAAACTAATATATTGTGATAGTGCATAATAATGGGTTCTTGTTCTCAACGTAGTTGCAGTAGCAGAAGTAATGTTAATAAACAATCTTCAGGAATATCGTTCCCCAGGTTAGTATACAAATATGTAAACAAAGTAATGACCCGTACTTCAGAGAGTAAATTAATAGTATTTGACTGTATTAGTTTATCTTTATGTATAATATATCATTTTTTTAGTGTTAACCGCGGGATAAATAAATCATAGTTTATTAAATGTATTACACTTTTTTAGATTATGATTAAATCTTCTGAATACCTAGTCATATTTGGATAGTAGTTTTATTATTATTGATTCTTGCCCTGATGTCAGCGCCATATTGGTGTTATCGTTAGCCACTCCTACCTACTCCGTTTTTAATACATACGTGAATATGCCCATAGCTTCTCCATAGATTCTAACTCGATGGATGTATGTAAGTTTTTTATTCCTTATAATTTTGGTATAAATCTCTGTAACGATTAATATATGTAGTATTTTTTGTACCATCTATATTTTGTAACTGTTTGTGATGAGACATAATAAATGTTTAATTTTTTTTTTAACCAATTTGTTTATTTCTCTTAGCTAACTCTCTAAACCCTTTTTTGAGTTTCATTTAAAAAGATATATTTTTAATTTCTAAAACTTATTTGAATAGTTACAACTAGTTGTTTTAATCGTTATAATTTGGCACCTCGAAACGGCGTCCATTTTAAATTGCTACAGGTCTTTCTTGTGTTTTGTTTTGTTTGTTCCAAGAGACTTCTGTAAGTAACACCTTTAATTCATTTTTTTGTAGTTGCCCCAATCCAACCCTCATGCCATTCACTTCAAACCAGCTACTCCAAATAATCCCTAAGTGCCGTTCGCATTATTTTGCTTGCTCTATCTCTAGCCCAATACTTTCTATCCCAAGATTTCAACCCCCATAGTAAAGGTAATGGATTTTGACAAGAGCTATCAGTCACGCCGATTTAGTACACAAATTTACCTGTCATTTAGAAGGTCATAGCTCTTGTCAAAATCCATTACCTATAATACCTCATGTGGTAGTCAAAATATTTCGTACTTTAGAATCCTAAACTACGAGGCACGTACTTTTAGAAATAAAAAGAGATAAAAAATAAATACTTGTATACTAAATACTTACCGGATCGTCAGTCATAACTTCGGCATATTTTACGTTTTTCACCAATCTTAAAAAGAATGACATGGTAACAAATCCGTATGTTGGATCTCTTAAAAACTGTTCCAAGTCTTTAATCGAGTTAGTTACATTCAAATGACGTTTTAGAACTTCTTGAACTACCTCTTCCCCTCTAAGTTTTAATATTGATATAACGAATTGCCGGCATTTTATAAGGTACTTTGTTTTTAAAAATTGATTAAGTTTTTTAATCTTTGGCGTCAATTGTGGGCTGGTTAATACCGCGCTTAATTTGGTTTGATGAAATGTTGATATGTGATATACAAACCATAATAGAAAAGCCAGAAATATCATTGATTTTAGATTAGCAATATTAAGCATTTCTGTTTGCATCATAATAAACAATCTATACATTGAAAATATAGCATCTTTTAAATTTATTTTTACCAGTACCTTCCATATTACCACTGATAGTATAAATACAACTCCAAGAGGGAAATATACGTCGTATGGAAATACAATAACCATATTAGGTTCGATTATTCGTCGTGGTGGAGCTATGAGGTATACATATCCTCTATTCATTGGTCTGGTATATTCACACTGATAATTTGGAATCTTTCTGGAGTAAAGATTTCCATGAACTCCAGCATCTATATTATACGTCTCCATATCATAGATAAATAGATCGTATGAGTCATGTTTAATAAGATAATCTATATAGTCGTGGACATTAATAAAGCTAATGTTTAAATTAAGCTGTGCCTGTATAGTTTTTGCTAAAGTAGCATAAGCGCCCGTTTTTGTTGTTTGATTAAAATGCGAGGGAGAGTTGCCAATTGTTATACTAAAGTTACAAAAATTTAGTTTATTTGGAATTTTTTTACTAAACGGATCTACTGTTTCTATTTTAATTATATTATAGGTTTTCCCACAATTATTCTCCTTCGAATAAGGAAACCACGTGAAAAATACTTTAAAATCTGTAGATACCACAGCGTTATATATATTGAACATCCATAATTGTTTAAAAACCGTTTTTATACCAGATTCTGTCAAATTTCTGATCAAAATTACAAATTTAGATGTACTGTGCCAGTTTTCGGACTTATTAAATGCTGTCAATGTATTTACAAGAGATTCAATACTTTTCTGAACAAACACGAAATCTCCGAATGATTGTATTAACTCATTTTCATTAGTTAAATTTGTAATTATGCGTTTTGGCGATTCCATGTAATCTAAAAAACTGTCAACAGCATTTAAATCTGCAACCGCACTTATACAGTACTTGTTTAAATATTTTTTGATAAAATCAGAGAGGTGTGTATAAATTTCTGTTTTTTCAGGTAATATCTTGGATGCAAAACTTGAATTACATATTAGAATATTGGAATAAAAGAAGAACACTTTAAACAACATGATTCTTAAATGAATATTCATATAGTAAATGTGAATTGTAATATAAATTGTATATATACAGTACAATTACAGTAAAAGCTTCATTTTAATTACCGAAAGTATAATAATTCTATATTTTTACTTACATTTTGATTGATAGATTACATACTGAATTTTAATAAATACAAGCTGACCCGATGGACTTCGGATTGCCTTATAATTAAATAATGTATCAAACTTCAATAATTCACAATTTACAGACAACAAAAAAATACATAAAAACATATTTTTATAAAGTGTTTAATTAAGTTAATCCTTTCTGATCAACAATATTTTTGGTTTTTTTTTGACGTGCGTAAATAACCAACGATGACGATTTATTTCATATTTATTTTAAGTACAATTTGTGACGTTTCTGGATTGTTTACTGTTGTGGCTGTCAGTCTGTTGAATTTTTTACGCAAATATAAAAATATTTCTAAAGTTGAATACTCACCTAAATCAGTTGCTAACTGTGTAAATTTTAGAGGAAAAGCATTTTTCCTTAATAACTTTCTTTGGCCACTTTGGTAAATATGTTCCACTGCAAAATGATTCTGACAAATTACCCTTTGTTTTAGGTCACTGATATCCATCAATATAATATCAATATTCCCGCAGTTTTTTTGCCAAATTTTTGTGCGCTCTACGTCTTTCAGGGGAAATTTAAAGAAAGATATATTATTATTTGTTCCATCGTTTCTTTCAAAATATTCCACGTAAACACATTTATGCGTTACACAGGCCATTTTGTCTAAAATGTGAGTCCTTTTTTTATAAAATTTCGCTATAACTTGTCACAACACTAGACACAGATAATACACTTATAGGGTAAGTTCGGCCCTGACACCACTCCTATCTCTTCGCAAGTCAGAGAGAGAATTAGAATCTCGATACGCTTTTCGAGTAACGTCATCTAGTTTTTGATACGTCTTTCGGTTACCACGAGGTGAGCTATCTAGGTAGTGGTTTATAATCAATGACACTAGTGTAACTCATTCAGTAAATAATTACTTGGTTGCCACGGGAATTAGATCAATATTGAACTATATTAATTTGATCTTAATAAAAAAAAAAGTTAATATAACTCAGCTTATAATAAAAACAGACCTTTTATTAATTCTAAGGCGGTAAGAAGTTAGCCGGGTTAGCTAGTTTTAATAAACTTTATGTTTAGATATGAAAACGTCTTCTTTTTCTGAAGATGTCTTTAAATGATACATGCCTTGCGATTAATTCTCTTAGAAATGTACAAAAGGACACAATTAAACCAGCAATCAAAAAGAAAAAGCAGCTTTGAAGGTTAGCTAGTGACAGCTTGCGGTTTACTGATTGATAGAATTTGTACTCCAATTTCGTACTCTCTACCGAGGAATCGTAGTGCCATTTATCCATCAACCCAGCCTCAAGTATATTTTGCATTAAACGGTCTATTCTTGTGTAAAGCGGATGGTTCTTCTTAAGTAATATATGGTTAGTTCCAGTAGCTAACTAAAAACATATAAAAATATACTAATTAAATTAAAAAAAAATAAAATTATTAAGTTTTGGGTTATTGTTTTTAAAATCCATCTCCATTCACCATCTTACTAATTATTCAAACTTTACTAATAGAGTATCAAAGCAGGTAGTCCATTCTTCTCTCTTAATTATGTGATATCTTCTCTAAGAAGATTGATAATTATCATAAAATTCGTGTTTTTGATGCAGCTATGCTTAACAGGTCATCTTAAAGAGATCTTCAGATTGTTTAACAAAAAAATATATCTCCTTCCTCTTCTTTTTCTTACTTGTACTCTCTGCTTGCATAGAATGTATAAATCCTAATAATTTATTACGGTTGTCTATATTTTGAAGTTAATTGTCCTTATAAGAGCCTAATCAATATCACAAATTTCGATACATCTTGTGCTTGATGAATAAGTAGGTTTCCTGTTGTCAATCATTCTTCCTAATGCTATTTGAAGTTTTCTGAACTCTACGTCATTTCCTTTTTATACTATTTCTATATCACATCTATGGGAAATCTCCATGTCCTAATAAAATACCATTAGACTGGCTTAAACTTTTAGATGACGACAATATCTCATAACTAACAAATATTACAATTGCAGATATAATACTGCAAAATGCCACAGATATAGTTGGAGTCTACATCTAAATCATAAGGCACGTCATCATCATCATCATCTTGTTGCTACAGCCCTTAGAGGGCCTCGACCTTTTCAAGCTTTCTACGCCATTCTGTTCTGTCCCTTGCTTGCATTTTCCAGTTGCCGACTCCGATCTTCTCCGCATCTTGTGTTACCCCATCCATCCACCTCAGCTTTGGTCTACCCCGTCTTCTCATTCCCACGGGTTTCGCTGTTAGAATCTTTTTTATCATGTTCGATTCAGGGCCTAGGCTAAATGTCCTGCCTCCACATTCCGTTCTCACAGACCGCTCCGAATATCTTGCGTAGCACATTTCTTTCAAATATCGATAGAGCGGATTCATCTGTTTTAGTTAGCGTCCCCATGCCTCTGATCCATATGTGAGAACGGGGACTATCAGTGTTCTATACAGCCTTATACGAATTTTTTGAGACAGACGTTTGATAGCTAAGTACTTTGATAGACCATGATAACACCTGTTTGCAATTAATATTCGAATTTTTATTTCCTCAGATGTGATATTATTGGAGTTAACCGATGTCCTAAATATATGAACTCTTTGACTGCTTCGAATTTTCGGTCATTGATGATTAAATTTGCGTCAATATTTCCAGCTCTTGTGTTTCTGTTAGTCGCCATGAATTTGGTTTTATTTTGATTTATATGTAACCCCATTCCTTCTGCTGCTGTTACTAGCTCGGTTAAGATTTTCCGCAGTTCTCGCCCGGGTTCTTGTTATAATGTCCACGTCGTCTGCATATGCTAGAATTTGGACTGATCTATTAAATATTGTTCCCCTGCTATCTAAATTAGCGTCTCGTACAACTTTTTCTAAGGCGACATTAAAAATCTGTCGTAGTGTAAATATTTGGTTAATGGTTGAACGTTCACGCCTGAATCCTGCTTGATATACTCCTAGAAACATTTCGGTATAAGGCTTTAATCTCTCGTGCAAAATGTTCGACAATATCTTGTATGCTGTATTTAGGAGAGTTATTCCGCAGTAATTATTGCATTTCAGTTGGTTTCCCTTTTTGTGTAACGGGCAAATTAAGCCTAAGCTCCATTCTTCAGGCATTTGCTCCTCAGACCAAATTTTACAAACAATTTCTCTCATCATCTTGGTGAGCTGCTCTCCACCGTGCTTAAATAACTCTGCTGGGATGCCTTCACTACCTGAGGATTTGTGATTCCTTAGTTTTTCTCTCAAAATTTTCACTTCATCTACCGAGGGGGGTTCCACGAGTTTCCTCATTTCGGTATTCCAGCTCTATATTGTTAGTAGGTTCCCCTTCCAGCAACTCTCGAAAGTGCTATACCCATCGTAAAAGGATATCCTCTTTGTTGGTAACTAAGTTACCTTCCTTATCATTACAATAGTTGATTCTTGGTTTGAATTCTTTTCTAATAATATTTATTTGATGATAGAACTTTCTAGTTTTTCTGTAACTCATATGGCTTTCGAGTCGTTCTAATATGTCATTTTCCGAGTCTCGTTTATTTTTTCGGTGTATGCGTTTTTCCTCTCTTCTTAAGCTTTTGTATCTATCTATTTTTGTTCTAGTTTTTCGTTGTTGCATGGTCCTAAATGCCTCGTTCTTCTCATCTGTTATTTTTTTGCAGTCTTGGTCGAACCAGTCATTTCTTGGGTTCGGGATATTCCCAATGTGCTTTCGGCTGCTAATTTCAGAGCCTCCTTGTAGTTCTTCCACATTTCCGTGCTTGACTGGTCGACTGCCCAGGTGTGTTCTAGGGTTTCTTTTATGTGACTGGAACTGTTTCTCTTTGTTTTTATTTTTTAGCATATGTAAATTATATTTTACTTGTCTAGTGCCTTTTTCTTTCTTGGCATTGGAAATTTTTTGTCGTAACTTGGCCCCTATCATGAAATGGTTTGAGTCAATATTTGCGCCACTGTAACTTCTGACGTTCACTAGGTTTGTAAAGTGTCTTCAGTCAATTATAACATGGTCAATTTGATTTGTGGTGTGTCCATTTGGTGATATCCACGTTGCTTTATGGATATTCTTATGATTAAAACATGTACTTTCCACAATTAAATCTTTGGAAGCTGCCATACTAATAAGCATTAAACCATTGTGATTAGTAACGTTGTGATGGCTGTGTTTACCAATATAATCGTATTAGCATATCTCTTTTCCTATCTGGGTGTTCATGTCTTCAATGATTATTTTAATATCGTTTTTGGCACAGTTATCATATGCTCTTTCGAGTTCTTCGTAGAATAGATCTTTAATTTCTTCGTCTTTTTCTTCGGTCGGCGCTGTGCACGTTGATCAGGCATATGTTGAAAAATTTTCCTTTTATTCGATGGATGCATAACCGATTATTTATGGATTTAAAACCAATAATAAAATTTTTGATTTTCTTTGATACTAGGAATGCTGTTCCGAACTCATGTCGGTTCGGGTTGCAGCTGTAATATATATATCATATTCTTTTTTCTGTATAATGCCGGTTCCTGTCCATCTCATCTCTTAAATGGCTGCAATGTCTATAAGGCACGTACTTTGGGAAATAAAAAGAGATAAAAAAATAAATACTTGTATACTAAATACATACCGGATCATCAGTCATAACTTCGACATATTTTATATTTTTCACCATATCTAAAAAGAAATCCATGGTAGCAAATCCGTACGTTGGATCTCTTAAAAACTGTTCCAAGTCTTTCACCGAGTTAGTTACATCCAAACGACGTTTTAAAACTTCTTGAACCACCTCTTCCCCTCTTAGTTTGAATATTGATATAACGAATTGCCGGCATTTTATAAGGTACTTTGTTTTTAAAAATTGGTTAAGGTTTTTAATCTTTGGCGTCAGTTGTGGGCTGGTTAATACCGCGCTTAATTTGGTTTGATGAAAAGTAGATATGTGATATACAAACCATAATAGAAAAGCTAGAAATATCATTGATTTTAGATTAGCAATATTATGCATTTCTGTTTCCATCATAATAAACAGTCTATACATTGAAAATATAGCATCTTTTAGTTTTATGTTTACCAGTACCTTCCATATTACCACTGATAGTATAAATACAACTCCAAGAGGGAAATAAACGTCGTATGGAAATACAATAACCATATTAGGTTCGATTATTCGTCGTGATGGAGCTATAAGGTATAAATATCCTCTATTCATTGCTCTGGTATATTCGCACTGATAATTTGGAATCTTCTTGGAGTAAAGGTCTCCATGTAATCCAGCATCTATATTGTAAGTCTCCATATCGTAGATAAGTAGATCGTATGAGTCATGCTTAATAAGATAATCTATATAATCGTGAACATTAATAAAGCTCATGTTTAAATTAAGTTGAGATTGTATAGTTTTTGCTAAAGTACCATAAACCCCTGTTTTTGTTGTTTTATTAAAATATGACGGAGCTTCAGCAATTGTTATACTAAAGTAACAAAAATTTAGTTTGTTTGGAATCTTTCTGCTAAATGGATCTACTGTTTTTACTTTTCTTATATTATAACTTTTCCCGCAATTATTCTTCTTTGAATAGGGAAACCACGTAAAAAATACTTTAAAATCTGTGGACACCACTGCATTATATATATAAAATCTCCACAATTGTCTAAAAACAGTTTTTATACCAGATTCTGTCAAGTTTCTGATCAAGATTACAAATTTAGATGTACTGTGCCAGTTTTTGGACTTATTAAATGCTGTCAATGTATTTACAAGAGATTCAATACTGGTCTGAACAAACACGAAATCTCCGAATGACTGTATTAACTCATTTTCATTAGTTAAATTTGTAATTATGCGTTTTGGCGATTCCATGTAATCTAAAAAACTGTCAACAGCATGTAAATCTGCAACCGCACTTATGCAGTACTTGTTTAAATATTTTTTGATAAAATCAGAGACTTGTGTATAAATTTCTGTTTTTTCAGGTAATATATTAGATACAAAACCTGAATTACATATTATAATATATGAATATAATAGGAGCACTTTAAATAACATGATTCTTAAAGGAATATTAGATATTAAATGTGAATTGTAATATAAAAATACTGCTATTACAGTAAAAGCTTTATTTTAATTACCGAAAGTATAATACTACATATTTTTACATACATTTTGATTGATAGATTACATATTATTGACTTTTACTAAATACTAGCTGACCCGGTGAACTTCGCATCACCTTTTAATTAAATAATACATCAGTTCAATAACTGGCAATTAAAAGACTACCAAAAGACTAATCAAAAACATTCCCTACGAAAAATGTTTTTTCAATTGAATTCTTTCTGATCAGCAATATTTTTGGTGTTGTAATGTGCGTAAATATACAATGAACTCCAATATACTACTATACTTTGTTTCAAAGTCACTAGTCTGTACAGGGAAGATATGCAATGCTAACCTTATGGGAATCTCGCCAAGACCTTGCCAGTTTTTTGCACTGAGCGATGGCATTCTCTATTGTCTATCTTTCAAAATAAACGGAATAAACCAGGAGTTCTCAATAAGTACTCACGTACAATTTTATGTAATTTACAAATATCGTTTGCTAATAATTTTATATAATACTATACATTCTTTGTTTCTAATAGTAACTTATTAACTTTTATTAGTAGCAGTAGTATAATAAAATGTGCATTAAATAAACATTTGTTTCAAAGTTTTTCAAATACTTTCTTCTAAGTTATTCAGTAATTAGGAAGCAGTTAAAATAATTCTTGTACAGAATATGTATAATAGAATAATATACAGAATAATAATTCTTAATTAGTCTTTATTTGTTCTTCGGAGCGCGTAAACATATTCGAGTTACGATTATTTGTACTATCTTGGATGTACTGTTACTGTTTTTTTTATTGTTATTATTTGTTGATGGCTGTTGTTGTGATTTGCTGTTGGCAATTATTGTTATTTTCTGTTGTTGGCTATTGTTATATTTGACGCCGAATTTTTACCGCAAAATGGAGGTAATTCTTCAATGGAAATCTGAAAAAGCTCTGAAACTTTCAGAGAAGCAGATACTTATGAATATTATTAATTATTATCTTAATCAGGATAACAACGATTCTGTATCAAGTTTAATTAGGAAAGTGTCAGAATTGAGTGGTGTTTGCGAAAAGATTCTGTTTCGCATACGACAGGAATATTCATCACCTGCTGGATTACAATCTCCAAAGAGCAGGCACAAGAAGCGAAAGGTTGGTAATTCTCGTGACAACAAGTACGATGAAGGTGTCAGGGGCCAAATTCGTAGAATAGTTCATCAAATTTTTCGTGACAACATACCACCAACAATAAACACCATATTAGCTGTTGTAAATGTCGAAGAAGCTTTGCCCAACTTTTCACGGTCCACGCTACATGGCTTGCTGAGTGATATGAATTTTGTGTTTATAAAACGTGGCAGAAATTCGATTGAAAAACCAGAAATCATCTCGTGGCATCATCGTTATTTACCCTTATTCGTAAATACCGTCAGAAGGATACAACATAGTGTATTTGGATGAATTTTAGAAATATGCTTTATTGTCACTGAAAATTATTGAACAATTTTATGGACAAAGCTAAAAAATAAATCTGTCAAATAGTACAAAAAGTATAAAACAAAAACAAATATAGTAAAAAACAGAACAATACAATTTTAAATTAATAAAATTATTGTATAACCTAAATAATTTGTACAGACCACAACAAATGAGACAAATTGTAGCCACTGCTTGAGACACCCAAATGTAATGATAAACAATACTAATTTTGTTTCTTTGTTATACATTAAGAAACTCGTCAACTGAATAATATGGTCTTTCAGACAGATAGATTTCTGTCATCTTACGAAACTTAATGAAAGGTGTTGCGGATTAATTTCTCTTGGAAGGTGATTATAAAGTTTTTTTGCACTATATAGAATAGAATTCTTTACTAGCTGAGTGGACGGGATCGGCAAATAAACGTTAGAATCCGAATTTCTAATGGAGTAGCCATGGTTAGGTCTATCGGGAAAAATGTTTAGATGCTTTCGAATCAAACAAAACCGTTTCCAAAATAAATAAAGAGGGAAGCGTCAAAATTCCGTGATTTTTGAAGTAGGTCTTGCAATGAGTTGTTTGTTTGAGACATGGACGTATATCTTTATTTATACGTCCATGGTTTGAGACCAAATAGAAAACGAATTGCTCTTTTTTGCAACTTAAAAATAGGTCCGCTGTACTAGAACCCCAAAATACAAGCCCATATCGAAGATGGGACTCGAACAATGAGAATTATGCCATTTTGACAGAAGATAAATTTAGTTTATTCGAAACAGATTCTTATTGCAAAGCAAGCTGAGGCTAGTTTCTTCCTGAAGGAGTCAGTATGCAAGGACCATTTGAGATCACTGTCAATAAGAATACCTAGAAATTTCACGGAATTTACGATACCAATTTGGCTCTCATTCAAAAGCAAGAGTTGTATTGCTACTGTCTTATCCACGTTAAAGATAATGCTACTGCCTTATCCACGTTAAAGCTAAGTAAGTTGGAGTAAATATCAGGCACATATTGGGAATCATGGGTAAATATCGGGCACAGTGTGACAAAAGAATGGGTTTATAAAACAATTACATCTCATCGCGATGCTTTTGTTCGTTGTCTGACAACATGATTAAAAGCTTCAATAGCTCGTAGTGCACGGTTCGTTTTATTGCACGCAGGATCTACCAGTGGATTTGTTAATGGAGCAGAGCTCACGTTTTTGGCAAATAAAAATAACTTAATGCTAAATTTGCCAGAAAAAACTGTTGTGGGAATGGTCAATGCCTCTTATCACAGCGGAAAGTCAGAACAAATTCCTAACAGTTTAACACTAAAAAAGATATTCAAGAATGGCCTATGTCAAAAGACCTATTTTTTTTCAAGAAGACTACCTAAAATGCGAGTTACTTGATGTAGTTAAGGCCTTCAAAGCAAAATTATGACAGGTACATATTAGAAGATATTGCCAAAAAGCACAATGTGAAGATTCTGATGCTGCCACCCTATCACTGTGAACTCAATCTTATCGAAATAGTCTTAAATGAAGTGAAACAGTATATAGCTGGATGCAACGCGAATTTTAAAGAAGCCGACATGCGAAATTTAATTACAGCAGCGTACCAGGTCAATACGCCAGAGAAATGGAAAAACTACGTAAACCACTTAACAGCAACAGAAAAAAAAATGTGGGAAATTGACAATTTGTTGGATGATATTGAACCAATTATTATAAATATAAATAACGGATATAGTGGTGATAGTGACGATAATAATGATGATGATGATAGTTAAGCAGAAACTAAATGTGACAGCGATTGAGAGAAAAAGAACTAAATATAATGGTGTATAATTAGGATTACTTACACACGAAATTAAATACAATGATTGATGGATTCGACCGTCACTTGATGGAAATTCATTTTATGTAACAATAAAACACTGAAAACTTTGTTTTCAAACTTCCACAAAATTTATTTTAAATATTATCACTACAGCTGTTTCGGCTGATTGCCTTTCTCAAGTGATCTATTTTGGCTTGGGTTTACAAATTTATAGTCTCTAATGAAATACGTTGAGGAGGGGAGAACTGTTTGTCTCCAGTTGGTCATTCAGAATTATATCTGTGTTTTTTTAATTTGTTGATTTCCATAGATTCTAACAAAGATAGCTTAAGGCCTTTATTTTGAATGTGAAGAATTTTAAATTTGTCATTAAAAGAACGATTATGATCTAGAAGGTGAAGTGCGTATGTCGAATCTGTTTTGCTATTCTTGAAAGCCCTTTTATGTTCTGCTATTCGTTTATCAAAGTTTCTACCAGTTTGACCGATGTAAGTTTTTGGGCAGTCGCCACATTGAAGTTTGTACACACCACTATTTAAGTGTTTTTTATTTTGGCTCTTGTTATTTTTAATATATTTGCCTAGGTTGTTATTTGTTCGGAAAGCTGGTGTTATTCCTTTCTTTTTTATGTGTTTGGCAATTTTTGTTGTTATTTTGCCTGTATATGTAATCGAGCAGAAGGTACTGGGTTTTTTCTCTGGTGGTGGAAATACTAATTTCATGGCTTTCTTGTGAAGTTTTTGATTTAACATTTTATTAATTGTCTGTTCGTTGTATCCGTTGTTTACTGCTATCTGCTTAATTATATTTAATTCTGTCTCAAAGTTGTATTTTGACATCGGAATTTCTGTTAATCTATGTAACATACTATGATAAGCTGCCAGTTTATGTTGTGTTGGATGGAGAAATTGTGTATAGTCGTGTCAGTATGGGTAGGTTTATGAAATATGAAGAAGTCATGTTTGTTTTGAAGTCTGCTAATTTTTAAATCTAAAAAATTTATAGATTGATTTTGTTCTGTTTCTATTGTAAATTCAATATGACTATGAAGTAAATTAATATATGATAAAAATTGGTCGAGTTGCCTGTTAGTTCCTGTGAAACATACCAGTACGTCGTCTACGTATCTCCACCAATATAAAAACTGTTTGAATACGGGATGATATGAAATCTTTGTCTCTAGATGATCCATAAAAATATCTGATAGCAATGGGCTTAGAGGATGAGCCATTATAAGTCCTGCACTGTTATTTGTATAAATTTTATTATTAAATTCAAAGTAGTCTTGGTTTATGCAAACTTCAAGAAGATGTAAAATTTCAGATGTAATTTTTGGATTTGTACTATTTTGGTCTAAAAGGTTTTTTACTAGAATAAAAGTTTCTGTAGGAGGGATACTAGGAAAAAGATTTTTTACGTCAAATGAAATTAATCTGGAGTTGTTAGCTAATTGAAAATGTTGTATTTTATTAACTAGTTCTATTGTATTTTTTATGGTAAATTTAGGTGAAAATTTAGTGTGGTCTAAAATAATCTCTAACAGTTTTTTTGAAATTTTATATGACGGAGCTGTATAAAAAGAAACTACAGGATTTAAGAATTCTATTGTTTTGTTATTATATTCTATTTTATCTATAGCAATAGTA